TTTAACTCATCCATCATAGCTAGCATTGCAATAGGCACTATAGTAAAAAAGTTAAGCCAGGTCTCAAAAGTTGATAGCTATGCTGAATATAATGACTAATAATGTAAAGTATACCCCAAATTATTAAACTTTGCATATCTTAGCACTGCTTTAATATATTTGAAAACCTGAGGTTATTTTAATTAAATGGAAATTAATAAAATGACAGGCAGCTAGAAGGTTCAAGGTGATATGTTGAAACTTACTTGCATTTAATAAATTTGTATCTTAATATGTGGGTGTATCATCATGAGAAAGCTTAGATGGAAAGTAAGACTCAATTCGTATTATAAAAATACACACAACAATAACTACAGGTAAATGTTCACAGGAGTGGAAGGTGTATTTACTAGACTGCACATCTACAACAGAGTACAGGAGAGAGAGACACGTACTTCAACTATAACTACTAGCCTACATGGACTAGGCATTTTCTTGACAGTCACTTGCCTAGCAATACTTTTTACCACCTGTTGCACAAACACTGCAAGTCCTTCAGGATGCATTTAAAAGAAAAAGATGCTTTTTCTTTTTTAAGTTTGTTGCTACCACAGTTGTATTGCTCATTTTGGTGGACAGATCAGCTGAAAAAACTATGGTCACAGAGCAAGTTCTTAGTCTGAGATTCAAGAGTGTGATCCTTAAATATGTGAGGTTACTGACTTTAATAGTTTCCAGTAAGATCTTTAATGACAACCAAGCAGCTCATTTCATGTAACTGGGTAAACAGTCTTCTCCACCACTACCTCTCTACATGTTTTAAATTTATGGGTGGAAAAATAAAAAACAAAACAAAAAACCAACTAAGCCCTGTGCACTGTCCAATCTCCCATCTAAAAGACAGTTTATTTAAGGGATTCAGAAGTTGCCAGGTGCTGCTTACCTTAAAAGCCAAACTGATATCTTCAGCACTATGCACTCTAACATCATCTGAAGAAGGTCCCCAAGAATTAACTGTACATGGAATTAAGAAGTCTCCAGGAAGAGAAGCAGTTGGAATTTTGCCTGATCCACCAGCAACTTCTCGACCAGGATCAAAACGGTCTATCGTTATCATTATGCCTTCGCCACCTGGAACGAAAAAAAAATCATACCAAAATTCCTGTCTGATCAAACATAAAACACATTAGATAAAGAGCAGTAACTCAGTCTACCTGATAAAAGCTTGCTAACCAACCAGTATTGTCTATCTGCCTGATTTTTCAAAAACTTACTTTCATCCACTGCAAGAGTCCCAAGCAAAAAACAGGAAAATAATTGCTTTTCATTCTGCTTAGCATGACGATAGGCAAGACGCAGGGTCTTCTCCATTACAGATAATTTTGGGTTTCTAGGAAAAGATAAAGAGCAAGTTTAACACCCAATTTGTTTACCTTGTTATTTTTTTGTTTAAAAAAAAAAAAAAGTGTATTATATATTGCAAGAACTTCTAGGTATTTTATTATCTCATAAAAACAAAATATATAGAAACAGCCCAAAGTGCTTAACGGCAGAAAGGGAAAAATTAACAGCATTATACAATACTTCAATGGAATTTTATTGGTGTTCAGTGTATGTCCTTAATCATTCATGTTTAAGAAAAACATATTTTAACTGGAGTGGCTACACAGAATGCACTGTAAGATCATTCCAACAAGAAAATTTTGGGGTGACTAGCCGAGCAAACAAAAGAGAAATAATTCCTTCTACACAGGATAAATAAGGAGGAGAGAGAAGAGCTTTTTCAGCTAGAGGACAACATCGTTACAAGAACAAATAGAGACGAACAACTGTGAACTATTTCAATAGAAGGAGAAAGTAGTTAGAAACTCTAAGCTCAAAACATAGAATATTTAAACAGTCTCTTAAATTAAAATAAGAAAATTGTCAAAAAAGCTTAACTAATTTTGATAGAGTGCTTTCATTCTAGCACAGCATTTATTATGGACGTTTAAAAGAGCAAAGATTGGGCTAAATAACACACGAGTGTACAACTGGAGAAAAACAGGTAACTACCAATGTTTCACTATCATTAAGTTAGTAAAAAAAATTGTAACTAAGATCGGAATCTAGTGCAGTAAATACACCAAAGTTATTTTAGTTTGATTTAGCTTATCTGATTTTGACTTTCAGAGAGGTCAAAGTTGAAAGAGTGAAGCTACTGGTCTATGAATACTGCAACGACGATCCTGCCTGGTCAAGACTAACCAAGAGAAATGCCTTCATCAAAATAAAAATTAAGGATGACTATATTAAAACTGTCATAGAGGATGCTTCCTGATAATCCTCTTTAAGAAAAAAATCTTAAATCACCAAGGGCTGAAAATTAGAAAACTGATCAGCAACAATGACCATAGACTTTACATGCTATACCTTACTCAAAATTT